ATTTCATACAATATAAAATGACAGGTGAATCATCCCCAGCTGAAGGTTACATCACAGTTCAGTCTAGAAATGCATGTCATACATGTATTAACTAATAGGTTGTGCATGATATTTTTGAAAGAGACAAATTTTTTGCATTTCTACAATTGAAAGCAATTACATTGTCAGTAATCTCAATATTTAAAACTTCAACCCAGATGAAACAGCAGTGCCACCAGGACTCCACTCCATTGGTGTTCATTAGGTACAAGGCAACTCAAAAAGCCATGGATACCCTAAGGTATACTTCCTGTATATTTCAACAATATTTTACATGCAGGCTTGACATTGATTAAACCAACACTGACCTAAATCCATTTTAATCAGAGTGAGGATGGATAGTCATGCATGTCATTTTTAGTGACAGGTGATTCTAGTTAAACATGTATGAATAAGGCTGAGGTGCATAAGTCTTATAGTATCAGTGTATCAATCACTTTATTGAATTAAGTACACACTATTGGTTTATTTTAGAGCTTTGTTGGATATTGCCAAAGTGTTAGGAATCTGCTACCTATATGCCTCCCTGCAAGGCAGCCATTTTGATGACAATGGTAAGGATGTGGGCTTGATTACCAACCTCTGTTTCTGAATCAACCTCACTTTTCCCCACCATTATTATTAGATTTTGAGACACTGGTGGTTCACCTAGTGACCCACATGATTTTCAAGCTGTAACTCAAGAAAATCAACATCAAATTCTTTTTAACTTAAACAGTGAGACAACAGTCTATTGGACAACAGAAGTAATTTCTCATTGATTAAGGCATGCAACCTCAATTGAAAATTTACCATGGCAAGCACATCATAAAATGTAAGATTGTCTTGAAAATAAAAGTTAAGGAACAAACACAAGTTAACTATCAAACAACAAGTTAATGAACATTGTGTGCAAAATGAATATGTTTCCACCAGAGACACTATCATGTATTTAGTGATGTAATGGATTGATCATCTTATTTCCATAGCTTGTGGGAAACATCAGCAATCCCTGTATGATGATGATGTTGAGATAAGGGAAATGCACCCCACTTTACCATCAAACAGGATGATAGTTAGCAGCATGATAGCTGGTCAGTGGTCTCTGAGCATTTGTGTCACTCACATTGTATCTTGTAGCTCATATTTATAACTTACCACAATTTCAAATCTCTTAATTTGCTTCTA